ACTGTGCAGGCTTGGAACTCACTATGTAGACAAGCCTGGCCTGGAACTCAGAGATCCACCTGCCTCTCTCTCCCGAAAGCTGGGATCAAAGGTGTGCACCACGACACTCGGTTTATCTGTTCTTTAAGTCCTTATTTGCATCCCACATGGAATTTTCATCCATCAGTGCCAACAATACTTTTTTCCTTTTCACAGACTTCTTTTGCTATCACATCTTCTAGTGTTTTCTAGTTTTCATAATGGGTTCTTCCTCAAATTTAACCAAAATTATTCCTGTAGACCTCATCCGGCCCATCCCAATCTTGTTGCCGGGCCCTATATCTCTCAATTCTGTGGCGCCTCATTCCCAGGGAAAGTGAGGGGCATGCTAGGGCCTGCACTTGCAGGCAGCCATGTTCTAGTCTTTCATGGACAAGAGCTTGTCGTGGCACCAACACGCATGATTCATGCAGCTACGGTGAATGCTGGGTGGGGATGGAGGCCTGGGAATCGTGCAAGACTCCAGTGTACCTGTCAGACTCGGAGTATTCGCAATTCTAGCTTCCTCGGTTTCCCTTCACTTTCTTACTGCTTCCCTAGTTGACAAATGAAACTTCTTGGTGGCATGGAGGGAGGGGACAGAGTCTGGAACACGAGACAATCCTCCACCGGCCTCCTGAGTTCTGGAGTTGCAGCCAAACACCACCATGCACAACACAAATGGAAAACAGGGCCCTGCTCTTGCAGTGGTATTCAGCAGGGTCAAGACGTCCTAATTTTAAGGCTACAAATACCTCTGTGTCTATAGGCCACATTCACAATTTGACTGCAGTTCCAGAAAGGTTACCATCCTATCTCAAGCTATGTTCGAACTTGTATTAAATGTTAGAGAGCAAAGTTGAGGAGAGGGTGAAATCACTTCCTATTGTCCCCCTTCCTCTCGATTTAGGGATTTAAATGGAACAGCAAGCTAGGTATAGTGGTGCACGCTTTTAACCCCAGTTCTTGGGGTTAGCCCGAGGCAGGAGGATGGTAAGTTTGAGGCCAAGCCATGCTACAAAACAACGCCCTGCCTCAAAAAAGAAATAAATGAATAACACCTTGGAATCGCTTATTATATAACAGCCCCTGTGTTGGGGGCTAACTATTTGATCTCCACACCAGGCCAAATGATGAGTACTTAGCAGGCGCTGTTTGTACAGAGGAACAATCACAAAGCCCGAGTGGCTGGTATCCAGTCTGCTAGCCCTTGGCAGCAGGGCCTGTCAGCCCGGTTTGTAATCACAGCTACTCTGACATCGCGTGCCGGATTACAGACACTGAACACATTTCCTCTCCTCCCAGAGCTTCCCAGTGTGACATCCTGGGCCTGAAATGAAAGCAGGATCACTGGGGGGAGACTCTGCATGGTGTTGCAATCCTCTCATGTGGCTTTGGGCTCTGAGCCAAGCAGCTGAGCCCATGCTGGGAAAATGGCACCCACCTCCCTGGACGCTGCCATCCATTTCCCAGGAGATGTAAGTTCTGAGTTGCTCTCGTCTCACTCATCCAGTATCAATGGAGGTCCTGTCTTTCTCTTGGGGCATGGTATAGAGCAAATACTGTTTGTCACCTGCCATTCATATAACAGTAAATACTATTTGTATTTACTGTGACACAGGCCAGGCCCATTGACTCATTGGAATCCTCAAAGTTAATTTTGCCGGCTTTATGGAGTTAATTTTTCAGTAGCTTGTGTTTGCCAGAGGAGAGGGAAGGCCTGGGTTTAACTCCAGGGTTACACTGCTGTGAGCCATGATAGCCTACAGCTTCTCTCAACATGAATTGTTCAATGAAATTCAAAAAACACCAGAAACAGTCTTCCAGATTCTGGGGTACATTTTTTGAACCCCATCAAAGGCTGTGTTCCTCTCTCTCTCTCTCTCTCTCTCTTTCTCTCTCTCTCTCTCTCTCTCTCTCTCTCTCCTCCCAGTACCCTATCTACTCCTCTGTCTCCTTAGCTTGGTAGCAGGAGCAGGCACTGTATCTACTCTCTCTCTCTCTCTCTCTCTCTCTCTCTCTCTCTCTCTCTGTGTGTGTGTGTGGGTGTATTAGGGGGCATTCTTTGATTAAACCCCATCCCAGACTCACTTGGGAGAGGAAACTAGTTTTGTTTGTTTTTAGTTTATTTGCTTTTTAGTTTTTTCAAGACAGTTTCTCTCTGTAGCCCTGGCTGTCCTGGAACTCAATCTGTAGACCAGGCTGACCTTAACACACAGAGACCTGCCTGCCTTTACTCCCAAGTGCTGGGATTAAAGGTATGTACCGCCAACGCCAGGTAGGAAACTAGTTTTTAAAATAATGTTTTTATGTAATCTTTGAAATATCATTCTCTTGCACAATGCACTTTAATTATGTCTATCCACCACTACCTCCCTCCACCTCCCCATGATGTCCCCACCCCACCTCCCTCCCAGCTTCATGTCCTCTTTTATTTCCTTATTCCTAAAAACCTTCTGAGTCCAAATTAGTGTTGCCCATATGTGCATGGGAACCGGCGCCATCCACCAGGGAACCGGCAGCTTACCAGAGGCCATGTCCCCAAGGGAAAATGACTGTCTTGGGGAGGACACAAATATACCATCTTTCTGTACTTAAAACCCTGACCCCCTGGAGAACTTCACGGTGGAGAGTTGTAATAAATGATAAAGTACTCGGATAAAGAGTTTTCTGGCCACAGTATAAGGGTCGTAAGTTCTGTTTCCAGCTCTGCCACGACTTTCTCTTGCACTACTCACTGTCATTTCTCTTTGCACCAGTTAAGAAGGCCAGGGTCTTCCAAGGGACAAGATCAAGGAGAAAGAGATGACACACTCTGCCTATAGGAGGAAAAAAAGACTGGCTTCCCGTGAAGGTAAAAGGAGCAATGCATGTAAAAGCCTGGTGTGTGGCATGTCCTTGGGAATTGTGTGAGACATCAGGGAGATGCTTGGGCTGGCGACAGAGGACCAGCCTCATGAAGCTGGCTGCTGACAAAGCCAGGCCGTCCACACAGGACTTTCCTGGCTGTGTCTTCAGGGTACAGTTGGTGGCGTGCCACAGCTCCCAGGAAAGTGACCTAACTGGATTTTTCTCCATGAACACAAAATTGCAAGTAATTCTCATTTGCCTGGTGATGGGGAGTTTGTGTTTCCCAGAAGCTGTGGGTCAAAAACTGAGGGAAAGAGAGCATTTCTTAACAATGATTAATCAGCTGTATTGCAAAGAAAGAAGACAGAGAAGAACCTGACGGTGGACCCACCCATAAACCTTGACAGCGTTTCCTCTTTCCCACAACATAAAAGTAAGCAGCCCTTTCCAAATGGCAAAGAGCACCGAGAAACGTCTCCACTGTGGCAGGAGGAGCCAGGAGAGGTGAGGCTGGCATGGGCCATCACTCAGGCCCTTAATACGACAGGGGCGACCGGTGTGTGTGACCTGTACTGTTCAGGGAACTAAGGGTTTGCTTTTCTATGGAATGTGGAGGAGTGTGTGTGTGTGTGTGTGTGTGTGTGTGTGTGTGTGAATTTTCTGGAACCTTTTTAACAAAAGGAAATGGGAAAAAGGAAGAGTAAAGGACAGAAAATAGGGTATGAAGGAATCAACTACATTTACCAACTACGTAAAGCCTTTCATTCCAGGAACTTAACCTTTTGCGGTATAAACGTCTTTTTTAAATGCAAAGCTCATTCCTGGTTTAGTGGGACCTGACCGGATATGATTTTTGTTGCTGTCGTTATTGTTGTTTTTTCTCATGGGAAGCTGTGTTCTCCAGGGGAGATGGGTATACACTCAGGAGAGAAATTGATTTGTAAGTGGGAGCTTAGGCATAAGGAGTGAGTACGGAGGCCAGCTGCCTCCTTCAGCTCTGGCAACCTACTTCATTGTCCTAATTTTTACTTCCCTCCTTGGTAAAATGTGAATAGACACAAACTTCCTCGGGGGTGGATGTCATAGGAAACAAGGCAATTGTGCAAAGCATTTCATACCGTCTCCAACATGTCCGCTGTGTAGGGCAAATGTTGCCTCCCGCTCTTGGCTGAAGCGGCCAAGGATGTCTGGACTCTTTTTTAGAAGCAGAATGGGGTGTTGCCTACCAACTTCCCTTACCAATGGGGTCTGTTTCCTTGTTTGCCCAGAGAACTAGAGAATCCAGCTCTGTAGGCAGCAGTCTATCACTGGGAGGTCTCAGTAGATGCCTGCTCTTGTTCCGGGAAGGTTGCATGTTATGAAAAGGCTTGGGCTAGCTGTTTCTTGGCTTTCTAGGCAAGGAGCCTGGGAACCCCAGGAAGACGCCATCTGTGTTGGTTGGGGAGTGGGGCAGTGTGCCTTTCATTCGCGTAACCTGTTCATAATTACAGTTTCCTAGAACCACGGAGGCGGTCTAAAAGCAGGTGCACTGTGGCTCCCCAGCTAGCTCACTGTGTTTGGGGCTGTTTGCTCCCTGGCCTCTGCACACACGAAGGGAAATGAGAGCCCTCAGTGTGCAGAGGGCAGGGCAGATCACCTGCTATTGTAAAGTTTTCTCTTTGTGTAGCTTGTGCTGCTTCCGAGGGGGGCAAAGACAGATCCCATGCGTGACACATCTCTGTGCACAGTCAGCTCCAAACACAATTTTAGGTAGATACACAGCAGGCTTTTCATAAAAGGTGCGGCTTCCTTCAGGGGCAAACTCAGAGCTCTTAAGGCTTTTCAGCTCTGTTGCCCAATCCGTCCCCCCCATTCAGTTCACTGGAAACAAGACTTTTCATCCCAGTTGATGAAGAGTTGAGTCAGAGTCAAGGGTGATACACACTGCAGCGAGAGCCTGTTGGGGCGGGGTGTGGGAGGGTCATAGTCAATTAATTCAAGAAAACCACAGCGTCCATTGAGACCTTTGAAGTGCCCTGAGGACAAGGGCTGAGCCATCTTTTGGTTGCCATCAGGCTTCTGCCATGCTTGGTTCTGATTTTCTCTGCTCTGCAGCCTAGGTGGACAACGGGCTTCAATCCTTGCTGTAGGACATGAAGGCACAGAGCATTTCTTACTGGCTCCTGGGCATGGCACTTGTCCTCGGCTCGGCGCACACCGGCAGCCTCAGGAGATGTCTGATTTCTGTGGACAGGCACCTTATAGAAAAGAGTTTCCCAGAAATCAAGAGAGCCCTGGTGAGCATGGCTTGTCTGAAGGAATGGGATCCTCCATCTTAGCCTGAAAGGCAATCTCCTTCCTGTTAATTGTGGGGAATCCTGGGGAAGTGGGGAGTTCCCGCATCGATGTCTGTCCTGCTCTCCACAGCAAACTAAAGACACCTTCCAAAACGTCACCATCCTGTCTGCATTGGAGAATCTGAAGAGCATTAAGGTACCAGTTGGTTTGGGCCCGCTTTTTAATGACTTTGTGCTAAGAAACAAATCCCTACCCAGTATGCTTCTCCACCCCACCTCCCGAGACAGGGTTTCTCTGTGTTGCTTTGGAGGTTGTCCTGGAACTCGCTCTGTAGCCCAGGCTGGCCTCGAACTCACAGAGATCCACCTGCCTCTGCCTCCCAAGTGCTGGGGTTAAAGGTGTGAGCTCCCCATGCCCGGCACCTAGTATGTTCTTAATGCTCCAGGCTTGTTTGTCATCTGAGCAGTTTGGGAATGTCAGAGTCCCAGTGACTCTAAAATCATGGTATGACCAAAGAAATGACACTTCCCCACAGGGTAACAGAAGTACCAGGTACTCCAGGTACTCCAATGGCACAGGAATTTAGTGGCTTGGAGATATTTTTTTGGGGGGGGGGAAGATTCCATGGGAAGGAGTGATAACAAACAAACAAACAAAACCCAGAGACATTTGAAGTTGAGGAGGCTGCAGATGAGTAAACAAAAGGTGTAAGATCCAGGGGAGGAGGGGAGAGACAGGACTGAAGGCAGAACTGTGTAATAGGGACAGCGAGGCAAGCAGGTTTAGATGCACAGGATGTACAGAATAGGGTGGGGGCCCAGAGGGACAGCTACCCTTGGAACCAGGCTGAGACTCAGCTCCCTGACAGGGACAACAGAGCGGCTAAGGAGACCTTGGGAAGGAAGTTCTATCACAGAACTATTCCAGAAAGTTTGGGAATGGGCTTTGCTATGGCAGCTGAATGGGAAGGCCAGTAGGGATTCCAGCCCCACACTCTGGAAATATTGTCACCAGATGGTAGCTTGCCAGCTGATACTTTGCTTTACAAAAAGAGCGGTGCAGTTTAGGGTGATCTCTTGGCCGGGTGTGAGGGAATGTACTCCCAGCACTTGAGAGGCAGAGGCAGGAGGATCATTACAAGTCTGAAGCCAGTCTGTTCAACTTGGTGAGTCCTAGGCCACTGTAACTCATGTTGATGAATAAACCCAATTTTCAGTTCAAAGGGCATACACGATAGTTTACTCTATAGCCAAATATTAGCAACTGCAGCTTGGAATCTAGATTATGTTAGATACAGTGTTTCAAAGCAGCGAAGTATCGTGAGGCTTGTACAGGGAGAGACCAAAGGACAGTCATAAACAAAGGGATCTAAACCCTTATTGATGGGTACATAGGTAGCTAGGTTGTAGCAAATTGTGGAGAGTCTGCTATAGGTCTCAGATGCTATAGGATGACACTCTTAGCTTTGGGGACACTAGTGGTCTGGTAGTATTTTTCACAAAGTTTCTCCTGGTAGTCACAGTTGCCAGGTCAGACATAGAGATGACAACCCCCCATAGCCACAGAAGTTCTGAGTAGTCAGTCAGCTTTGTAGGATCTTAGTCATAGGTTAGGCTTTCTTTCTTGTGATTTCCAGTTCATGCTTATCAAGACAGTGTCTCAAAAAGCAAAGCAAATTAAACAAAATGAAGAACTTTTCTGACCTCTGGGCTCAAATGATCTACGTTTTTGTTGTTGTTGAGTTCTTACATGGCAAACTGAAAGTATGTATCTATGAGGAATTGAGACTTCGAAGGGGGAGGGAAGATGAGTTAACGACCAAGCCGGGAACAGGACTGCCCCTTCTAGTTTATGCCTCTGTTTCCAGACTCTTTCTCCTCCTGAGCTGGAGAAAAGGCTGAGGCACAGTAAGGGAGGAGCTAGTGAGCTAGGATCTTTGTTATACTTTCTTCTGTCTCTCTTTCACTCCATGTCTTTTCTGTTTTAAAATTACTTATTATTTGCATGTGTGTGCCTGCCTGTGTGTGCGCCTGCGTGCATATGAGAGAGAGAGAGCTCTGGGTGTTCGTTCTTTCCTTCATGGGATTTGAGCATAAAACTCAGGTTCTTAACCTCAGCCACAAGTTCTTCAACTTCTGAACCAATTTTCCTCCCTCCCTCCTCCCTCCCTCCCTCTCTCTCTCCCTCCCTCCCTCCCTTCTGTCTCCCTCCCTCCCTCCCTTCTGTCTCCCTCTCTCCCTCCCTCCCTCTCTCCCTCCCTTCTGTCTCCCTCCCTCCCTCCCTCCCACCTCTTTGTCTCCCTCTCTCCCCACCTCCTTTTCTTCCTTCCTTCCGATTCTTTTTTTTTTACAATGTCACAGTCTTTAGTGATGCAGAGGTATGTAACCTTTTCTTCTGATTAAGGGCCCAAAGAGAGCAATTAGTCTGCCACTGTCTAGGAAAAGCTGCCCCCAGGCCAGGGGCTGAGGTCAAAGGTACTTCCTTAGGCCTGCAGAGTTCAGGTTGCTAGGAGGCAACTGTTGCATCTCTGGGCTGTGTGTTGAGCATCTGGTGTCTTGTCTTAGAGGCATCTGCTTTCCATTGCCATCCTCTGACATTCCCAGATGTGGCTGCCAGTCTCCAGGCTTGCAAATTTCAGCCCCCCCCTCCAGTTTAAGGGGACAAACTTTGAAAGAAAGTGTGTGTGTTTCAGGGCTCAATGGCCAGGATGATTGGTCATATTTGATATGATATGTGCTGTCCAGAAGCCAAGATATTGCGGGCTGGGAGATTACAGGGCTGGCAACCTTGGCTTATGGGATGCAAACCCTCTCAAAAAGGAGGCCTCTGTTCTTGGAGGGATTTGAGAATTTCTGATATTGTGCTGGGGATGCTGTGCCGAGAATCCTTGTCTGTGATGGGATTCCAAGCCCTGTTCTTTGTGAATGTATCTCCTGGCTGTAGGTAGCCTGACTGCGGGAAGCGCGGAAGAATTCTAGAAAAGAATGTTTAGTTACTTCTTGTACTGTCTCTCTAGAGTGCTGAGAGCGGAGGGCCTCTGAAGCATGCTCTAATCTGTGTCTGTAGCCTGTAGATGTGTGCTGTGTGACCAGTCACCTCCTGGCCTTCTACAGAGACAGGGTGTTCAAGGACCACCAGGAGACAAGCCATAAGGTCATGAGGCAAATCAGCGGCATTGCCAACTCCTTCCTCTACATGCTGAAAACTCTGGAGCAGTGTGTGAGTCAGTGCTCCGAATTCCAAGCATCTGTGCCCATCTGCCCAGAATGAGGCCGGGACTTTTGAAGTCAGGGCATTTCTTGTCCTATCATTCACTTCTGTGTCTTTTTTGAGACTTTGCAAAGGTTTTGCCAGTCTCAGGGACCTGCCTGCCGACTCCTCCTCAGACAGGTCTCCTCATGGAGTAACCAGCTGATGCCAGAGTATAAGAGGGGTTTGCCAGGGATTGCGTTCTGACCATAAGCACACCTCTGTACTTTCTGTTTCTGACCCTTGGGAATTTCCACAGTAAGACATGTCTGGGGCATCGTAGTAAGTTCGAAGTTAAAATCAAACAGAGACGAGAGTAAAAGCCACCAACCAAAACCCAGGCTAAGGGACACCATAGGCTCCAGCCTAACGGCTGCTGATGTGATGCATTCCTGTGTGACATGGCTTCCCTCTTTGTCTCAGATTCAAAACACTGTTAGGAAGGGTGATGGCTCCTGCCCTGCTTTAAACCTACAGAAACGGAATCAAACAGATGTATTTTCTCAGCTAGTTAACCTTGTAGGGGGTTGCATTCTGCGTCTACAAGGTAGACCTGGTGTTTGATCTCCTGACGCTAGCCATCTGTGTTGATGCAGAAGGAGTAGAAGCCAGGGTGAAACGCAGACTTTCTCCACAAGCAGACCCTATTGCCTCTCAGCTGTTCTTTCCTAAGCCATTTCACTGACCTAGGAAGGAGGGGCCTGTAGGGAGGAGGGGCCTGTAGAGAGGAGGGGCCTGTAGGGAGGGAGGAGGGGCCTGTAGGGAAGGAGGAGGGGCCTGTAGGGAGGGAGGCATGGAGGGAGGAGGGGCCTGTAGGGAGGGAGGAGGGGCCTGTAGGGAGGGAGGAGGGGCCTGGAGGGAGGGAGGCATGGAGGGAGGAGGGGCCTGTAGGGAGGAGGTTGTGGGACAGTTGTCTAATGAGTGCTGCCCTCACTGTGATCCAGCAGATGCATAATCAGTGTCACTGTAGTGCCGAAGCCACCAATGCAACCAGAACCGTCCATGACAACTATGATCAGGTGGGTCCGGGGAGAGTATAGAGAAGACAGAAAATGAGATGGTTGAGAGAGCACCGTATTTCAGCCCTCTCTCCAGGCAAAATCATTTCTTTTTCCCACCAGTCTTCATTGAGGGCCCACCCAAGCGGATGCCTGCAGAATGTTGCAGGTCATTGGGCAATTCCCTGGTCCTTTTCTCCGCCCTCTTTCCACTGTCTTTTTACACCTTAACTCGGGCCTAGCCTACATACAATGCATGTCGTGTCCCCCACCTCCCCTTAATTCTGAGGCTGAGGCTGTTACCCACAGAACACAATGCATACAGTGTTCTCGTGGTCAGGACCCGGCCCTCAGCATCCTGCCTAGTGCACTAGGTACTTCTCACATGGGTGTCGATGCAGAAACAGTTACCAGGGTGTGTCAGCTGCAGATCTGATCGAAGTACAGTAGTTCATTGTACAGGGCACTGAAGAGCGAAGAGCTTAGGACCATTTTTGAGCTTGGCTTTTTGGGGGACAGGCTTTGAGTGATGCTGGAGGGAGAGCGAAGTGTTGCCGCATTGACTCTTCACAGCAAGGCTCCGAGTATAAACTGCATTAGGTAGATTAGGAAATAGAGGCGCGAACAGGTTGTGTGAGTTCACTAAGTTTATACTGCAGCTCCTTGGTAGAGTTAGGATATGGTCCCCTGCTGAATGGGCTCCATAGGATGTGGTTTTAGCTCCTACCATCTCCTTTTAGAATAGAAGGATGTGGACTAAGTCAGGGCTTGCATTCTAGGACTGATTGTTACTGACCATGTGACGCTTGGGTACACACTCTTTGGGGGCCTCAGGGCTTGGATGTCAGTGGGGGCCACAAGCTCTCACTGGAGAGCACTTGAGAGCATAAGGCTTCTCATGAAGTAAGAACACTGAGAAGACCTGGCTGGCAAGGCTAACATTTCCTGTGAAGAGAAGGAGAAACGGGGGAAATGAATGAAGGGTTTAAAAATGTGTGTGTAAGGATCTGAAATGATTTAAACTGCTTGTGTGTGTGTGTGTGTGTGTATGTTGGGGGGATGCTAAGCTATGAGGAAATAAGTTTCCATTCTGCGTGCTATGCAAAAGGTTTGATAAATAAAAAGAGAAACTGCGTAGGGCTCAGAAGATGGGGACTCTAATATATAGGCTTCAGTGTAGTCAGATAGGGCCTCATGATGTCCTTTCAATTATTTATTTATTTATTTATTTATTTATTTATTTATTTTGTTTTAGCTGGAGGTCTCATCGGCTGCCCTTAAGTCTCTAGGAGAGCTAGACATCTTTTTAACCTGGATTGATGAGAATCATCGAGAGACTTCTGCAGATTGACACTAAGTGCCTTGTCTGATCACCTAGGGATACACAATCCACTGTGAGCTCTCTCTCCACCCCCCCACCCCCATGGTCAACACCTAACTTTGAAGAGTAGAGAGGTATGGAAAGCCCCATCCTCTTTTCTTGGAGATTGCTGATGTGGAAGGGACCCTCTCTTCTGGGCTGGGGCCTCACTGGAAAGAATCAGGGTTTGAGTGGATCTCAGCTGCTGGCTGAGGTCTCAGCTCTCTGATCTCAGCTGGAAATAGCCGAGTTGGCAGCTATGGTAGTTAAAGCAACATGAGGCTGTTGAGAGATCCCGGATGCTGCCACGGACGGACAGACAGCCCCTCTTATTTATTATGAAGTGCTTTCCCCAGGCCCATGCTGGGTACCTACCACACGGTGTGCTGTAGTGCATATTGTACTGACTGACATTTATGAATAAACTGTGCGGTCCCCGTGAGAACGGATTGTCTTCTGAGTCAGGAAAGACTCACCCGTGGAAATAAAATGGGCCTCAAAAGTGGGGCACACACGGGGGAAGCTTAATTAATGGGGACAAAATGTGTGTAGGTTTCAAACAAAAAGTTAGAGGAGAAAAGGGTTCTAGATCAGTATATGGATACATTTTTTCATGGCTGTAACAAAGTATCGAGGCTGGGTAACTTTGTCAATAAAAACAAGTTTATTGCTCATAACCCTAGAGGCTCTAGGACATGAGTTTCACTGTCTGGGCCCTGATAAGGACTACACAGCAGGTGTTGTCACAACGGAGGGAACATGATAGGAGCGTGAATTCAAACAGAAGCCAGAACAATTCAGAAGCTAGGCCTATGTGTTCTCTTTTAAGTATGCTTTTATTTATTGTTTTGAGAATGTTATACCCACATGTGTGTATGTCTCCACAACCACTATCTGTGGGAGGCAAGAAGGCAGTCTGGTTCAACATGATCCAGTGGCTGGTGTTGGTTAAAACTTTGGGAGCCTGGTGCTGAGCAGTTTAGGCATATTTGAGCACACCACAATTTGGTGAAAAATCTTCCTGGTGATAAATAATTCAGTCAAGTGGATACAACAAAGCCTAAGGCATGACTAAGTTGAAACTCTTTGTAGGTCAGTGATCTCGCCCGTAAAGACAGGTTCTATAGATTGACTGAGAAAAACACGCTGGTGGTAAGCGTCTTGGGGAGGATCCTGTGTGGTCTCAGCCATACAGATAGTGCAAAGGACATCAGGCTATTAACCACATCCACTTCCCGCCTTCTGTGTGGAAAACAGGTTATGCATCTTTCCCCTTGAAGAGACAGCACCATGTCTTTAACATCCCGGTCCCCCGAGTGCTTATCTGTGAGCACAAGGACCTCTGTGCCTCCTACACATGTGTACAATGTGTTTCAATCAAATTCATCTCCAGCTCCTCCTCTCCCATTATCTCAATCCCAAAGCCACTGAGTCCAGTTAGTTCTGCCTGTATGCTCAGGGGCCATCTACTGGAGCATGGGCAACCTACGTAGGGCTCCATCGCTGAAGAGATCCGATGCTTACTCTCTCAGCAGCTAAGGTAGTTTGAGTGTGGATGGCACTGTTAGGCGGTGTGGCCTTGTAGGAGGAAGTGCCTCCATAGGCGTGGGCTTTGGGCTTTCAGAAGCTCAAGACAGGCCCTGCTGCCTGTGGATCTGGATGCAGAACTTTCACCTCCTTCCCCAGCACCACGGCTGCCTGCATGACCATGCTTCCTATTATGATGATAATGGGCTAAACCTCTGAACTTGTAAGCCAGCCCCAATTAAGTGTTTTCCTTTATAAGAGTTGCTGTGGTCATGGTGTCTCACACATCAACAGAACCCTAACTAAGATAGGCTTCATGAGCCCCTTCCCATCCATCCGGAGTGTTGACCGGCTTGGTCTTGGGAAAGTCTAATGCGTATATAGTCACAGCCATTGTGAGTTTGTCGTATTTGGAAAACATCACTGCTTTGTGGCAGTTCTCTACAACCTCTGGCTTTTACAATCCTCCTGCCTGGTCTTTTGAGATGAATCCTATGCCTTGGGATGGAGGGAGTGTAATTCGGAGGTCTCACGTGCCGACTAGCATTCCATAGACATGCACTTGGACCAGTTGTAAAATTATGAGGTCAGTACTGTCCACTGCACAAAGAAGCTTCTCTGATGAGGACTGGGAGTGGCACTAAGCTATGGTATAAGCTGAGACTACTTTGAGAGAGGTGGAGGCATAGTCCTGCTAGGCCGACAGGTGGAAGGAAGCACTGGGCTCATTAAAGATGCCTGACTCCCCTCCCCTTCCACCTTCCACCCTGCCCAAGGACTTTCAGATCTCCTGTTGAAGTGAGTCTGGGCGCCAGCTGTCTTCCTTGTCTTTGTTCTGAATTATCCAACTTCCTGTCAGAGCCCAAACAAGACAATGTCAGGGGAGAAAGAGAACTCATCCCATTCCAAAGCATAGAAACAAACACAGAAAAAACCCACCGCCATTTCTTCTGAACAGACTCCACTCTGTGTCTGAAGCTCCCTTCATAGCTGAGAATTTATTCTCGTGTTTCTCTCCCCTCCCCTCCCTCCCTGTGTGTGTTATTAGTTTTCAATAAAATCTGGCTGAGTGCTGAAACTTTTCTTGCCTTTTTAGTCTTTAATTTGGTAGAGAAAGTCATTTACTCCCGAAACCCTAGACAACAACATACAACATCACCTTAGCCAGAATGGCTACTACCATCAAGAAATCTGACAGCAAACGCTTTCAAAGACACAGGGAAGAATACTCCTTATGCACTGCTCGTGGAAGTGAAAACTCGTATAACCAATATGGAAACTGTATAGGGAACTCTCAAAACTTAAAAACAGAACCGCCGTATAACCCAGCTGAAACTAACACTTGGGACATATACATGGGGGATTCCATACCCCACCACACAGACACTTACACCTTTGTGCCTACAGATGCTCTATTTGTGATATCAGGAAAACACAGCCATCCCAGATGTCCATCGGTACGCGAATGGATAATGAGAACGTGACGCATATGCAATGGAATAGGTGTAATCAATTTAATAAATAAATAAAAATTTTCATGAAAATAAATGTACCCGGGGAGGTATGTCACAATATATACCTTGACTGTTAAACAAGTGTTCTTAACTCTGTGTCTTGTGAAACTTCTGCCATATTCGTGACATGAATTCTACTCAGAATAATGTTTCTAAATAGACACAGGAGAAAAGAAACTCATAACATTATAACGCGGCTATGGGAATATAAAAATAAGGTTCCTTCTTTGTTCATAACATGAACACAACTTAGCAGCATTGGGAAACACTATGCTCTTTTGAGCTATCTCCAGGCATTTTCATGAGATCTATCAGGGACAAAGTTATCTGTCCTGCCAGCACTGTGCTGACTGGTGTTTGCTGTCTGTCCCTGGAGAAGATGGTCATGTTTGACCTTCTCCCAGGTTAAGAACTTGGTGATAGATGAGCTCCCCAAACCCCTTTCTTGCCCACTTTAGCATGATCCTGCCCCAATGACTGCACATGGGGGCTTTCCCCTGCTCATTTATGAAGTTAAAAGGAAAACAACTGTGTAAATCCCCAGTCTTCCCGGAGAGGAAACTAAATTCAAATTTCTCCTGGATTCTTGTACTTGACTCCAGCCTAAGGCAGGGAGGGCCCTGCTGAAAGACTCACAGCCTGCAGGTAGAGTTGTGTGAGGGCTTAGCCAACTCTGGGAACTTAGTGATGTCAGAAGGAGGATTTGTGCATGAAAAAGGGAGGCAGCGAATTGAACTGGGTGGAATGCAGTGTGGCATGACGTAAGGATGCAGGAAGGGGAAATGACGTCACTCATTTTGACAGGAGGGAGGACAGGGAAGTGAAAGTGTACTTCTGACAGTTGGCTGCTTTATTCATCCCCGCCCTGCCCGGCTCCCGGAGAGTCTGCAGCAAAATTCCCAGCACGTGGGCAAGGGAGTGGCAGAGGCTTTTACCTGCCCTGGTACCCTGTGTGCTAGGATTCTTCCTCCAGACCCCGAGACATGTGGGTTTCCCGGCAAAATGATGCAATTGGGCAGGAGGTGCAGTTGTCAGCAGTTGTGACATTAAGGACCAGGAAAACCCTGATTAGGGAACTCGGAACCCAGTGTGGGAGAAGGAATCTCTAGGTTTCCTTCTTGCTGTGGCTCACTTCGGAACTCAGGTTCATTTCATTCTCTGATTAGATAGGTGCTCACAGCCGGTTTTGACACCCGGTTTTCCCAAGCTGGCTTGATGCGCACGTGAAATGCAAGTTAGGATAGAAAGACAGGAACAATTACGGATATGAAAAGAAAAAGGAGCCCCTCAGCCTTGGGACTGGCTGAAGTCTCTCCCAGTGGTGAATCAAGAATTCCAACATAATTGGCAGCATTTGCTTAAGGCATTCCCCCTCCCTTTCCCTGCTATAATCCTCCAGTTCTCTAGGAACCAGAAACCCCATTTACAATAAAAGATACTCTCTGGTTTTCCCTTATCAGATTCTAAACCTGTGCAAGCCACCTCTGGATTTGCATAGAGTCACCAAAAGGAGAGGGAAAGGGGACACTGAGTTCAGGGGAGAGGGTGGAGGTGCTGCAGGGAACTCCATTCTGGTTCAGTACTCTGCTCTCCTCGCAACTGCCTTTGCTCAGAGGGAACACCCAACCAGGTGTTCCCTTATGCAGAGCTACAACCAGCCAGCCCCTCAGGCAGGGGTTGTTGAGGAAGGTGTTGGCTTGAGCCAGGCTGCAGAGAAGCACCTTGGGACTTGAGGAAATGGGGTGCCGCTAGACACGTCCCAAGGGTTTTCCAGCCCTCGCCTCTGCCACTGCCACTTATTTCCTTCACGTGGCACACATATAAGTTACTGGGAGAGTCTCAGCCTGAGACAGACTCCTAGGAGACCAGAAGTAGCAGCCTTCCTACTCAGGTAAGAGACTTTCTCAAATGATTCTGGGCACGAGCCCCCGGTGCACCCCATCATTTACCCATGTCCAAAGGAACACTTTCCAGGAAGATGAAGTCCATCAGGGGACCAGGAGGTTTCACTGTTACCTTTGTATCGGGTAGGCAATGGGAGCATAGCCCTTAACGGTGGGAGTCTAACCAAAGCTGGTCTGATGAATTTACTAAGGCCACACACAGTTCTCATCTTAAGTGGAGTAAGAGAGTAATCTGGAGCCATTTTAATTAGGCTTGGTGACCTAAATTCCATGTTCATGAAGCTTTATACATAAAACAAAGAAATTGGGTTTTAAAAATTAATATTTAAGGTTTTCTCTGACATAGGCCTGGCTAAAATAAGGACCTTGAAAACCCTGTTTGTTCATTTGTTTGTTTTTAAAGAGGCAGTAATGGGTAAGCAAATCTTAAAATCCCATATATACAAACGTTATTCTCTTAGTCTTTGGAATAAAGAGTTTTGTATATCTCAAGGGAGAACAATTACCCAATAGGAAAAAATGTGTGCTGGGGTGGGAGTTATCATCTCACAATGAATTTACAACCCCAAACAGGGAGCAGGTTGTACAACCAGAATAGGGATAAGGGCAGGGAGATAACATCACAACCAGGATTGTATGATTACGCATAGCTTGTCCTTCAAAACAGTTTAAATTTTTGTAAGTTTAAAATTTCATGTTATTTGTCTCACAGGGAGATTTAGGGCCATTAGCTATCTCTTTTTGTTTACCTATGTGGTCACATTTATTGAATATACTTTTTGTCTTTTATATTTGTTTCATTAAATTTAATTTTATGAAATATTAGTTTTAGTGGGGGCCAAAGGAAGCTGGGCCAAGTAAACAACATTAATTTTTGTGAGCACTTAAAAGCCAATTTGGTACTAACTAAATTATGTTAAAATCAAAGAAACAAAACCATACACCAACACTGTGTATATACATATACATACATACACACACGCATATACATGTGTGCATATATGTGTATATACATACATATATATACAATCACATATAAGATACATTTTAATACGTCAAGAGTTTGAGTGTTATTGTTTGTTAGGAATATATTTTCTTTATCCTCAAGGGAAACAACAGCCAGGCAAGGTGGTTGGGAGGCAGATAAACCAGTTTGGAGGAAGTAAATGTTTCTCCTTAGTTTTCCAAATACTTTTAAGGTAGTACTTATCACACATAAAGCCGGCTAGAGTACCAGATGGCAGATTGTCTTCAAACACTTCCAGCCCCCTCTCTTTCTCCAGAGAGATTATGTATGTATGTATGTATGTATGTATTTTTTTCCTTTTCTCCTGAAAACTTGCCTGTCTGTCTATATGAGCTAGCAGATAAGTGTTTTGAGTCAGTTTTATGTGCTGTTTTGGGAATGACTTTCTCACTGGATCTTGGCATTATCCTGTGTGGTTATGCAAACCCAAGGGTACTTCTTCATGTGTCTGCCCAAGAATGGGGCATGTTTGTTGATTTTCTCTATGGGGAGAGGCTGTTGCCTGCCATGGAATGTTCCCTTTGACACCTCCACACTTCTGGGTGGGAGGGAACAGGTACATCTGAAATTCCTAGGCTAAAAGCTTGGCCATGGCAAGGTCACAGGAGAATCAGCAAAAACCACTCAGAATTATGCTTAAGGAGAGTCAGGAAACAAAGGCCCAAATGATAATGAACCAAAGCATTTCAAAGACAAGGAAAACCAAGACAAACGAAATAAAAATGAAGATGCTTTCAAAGTTCCAAAAGCGAACAAAATCTAGATGACTTTAGAGCAAGCAAACACATAAAACTAAACCAAATGTTGAGACAAAATTCTTTTACAGCGGACTAGGTAAATTTGAACCAGTGGTTCTCAACCTCCTTAACGTTTCCACTCTTTAATATAGTTCCCCATGTTGTGATGACTCCCGTTGTTTCGTTGTTACCTCATAACTGTAATTTTGCTACTGTTATGAGTCACAATGCAAATATCTAATGAGTATGATATCTGATATGTGACTCTGTGAAAGGTTGTTCGAGCCCCAAAGGAGTTGCAAGATGTCTATCAAACTAGGACAATTTACTAGCTCAGAATAAGCATGATGGGCTGTGGACAGGACTCACCAACAACTCTCCTGAGGGAGTAACAGCAGATGGCCTGAGCTCACAGGGTCCGTGTGGGTACCTGGCTTCCGGTCAGGTGATCCCTTTGGTGAAAAGTGGATCATTCTCAAGAGTACCACATCATGGCTCCGTAATTGTTGATGTAAAAACCACTCATCTTACAGGAAAAAGAGAATTTATTCTGGACTGTGCCCTGGGGACATAGATTTAGGTTACCCCAAATTTCATGCCGCAACGTGGGGGCATTTTACAAAGTTTTTACAGAAAAAAAGAAAGTCATAAGCCAAGGCAAGTTTAAAATACATTTGTGGGTACACCAAAGGGGCAGGCACAGTCTGACAGGTGAAAGGGTTCTATAAGGCCAAGATGGGTATCACAGTTCTGGGGGGGGGGGTAGAACCAGCCCAGGATAAGATAGCTTCTAGGCCTGCAACATTCCAGTCTTACCACATACCAAAATTTTATCAGTTAGTGCATGCGAATAATGTATGTGTATATATGTGTGTGCGGGGTAGGGGTTGTGTGTGTGTGTGTGTGTGTGTGTGTGTGTGTGGTAGGGGTTGTGTGTGTGTGTGTGTGTGTGTGTGTGTGTAGAAGTGAGGTGAACCTTGAGGGCCCTTCTTCAGTAGCCTTCTTCTCTCACTGGGACATGAACTTAGTATCTGTTTAGGCTAGTGGGCCAGCTAGCCCCAGACTCTCCCTGACCATGCCATCCAACCCTGGGACTACAGGTGTGCTCCAGCTATTCTCACATGCTGGGGATGTGCTGTAAATGGCGGTCCTCATGTCTGTGTGACAAGCAATTTACTGCCTGAGTCATCCCCAGTGTCCCAGCAACACCTAAAGTTCAAATATGTTTCTTAGACTTCCCAGATTTTTTTTTTTATACTTTTACCTGAATTGTTTGAGGGGAGAACACCGTCAATAATATATATTCATCATATACTTCGGAGAAAACTTACAAAAATTATGACAATGCATGACATTGTCAAATTCTGTTACTATTTAAGGTCTTGATACTGTTTGCCACAGAAAATTTCTTGTTTGATGTTGCATTAAAATATTCTATCCCAGCCAGGCGGTGGTGGCGCACACCTTTAATCCCAGCACTTGGGAGGCAGAGGCAGGTGGATCTCTGTGAGTTCGAGAACAGTCTGCTCTACAGAGCGAGTTCCAGTACTGGCTCCAAAGCAATACAGAGAAACCCTGTCTCCAAAAACAAACAAGCAAACAAACAAACAAACATTCTGTCCCAATCCTAGGTCCACTGTCAGAGCCAGCAGGGGGGCCTGGAGCAGCAGGAGTGTGCAGTCGTTTTGTGGCGGAGACCAGAGCCTTACTTTCCTTATCCCAGGCGCTTCTAATTTTATCTTAAGACTCAGTAAGCATCGCCTTCTTCACCGAATAGCCTCACTCCAAGAACACAGGAGCTGCTTCCAATGTGTTTCTGCTTTTTGGTGGGGCTCATTCTCTCCTCAGGCCAGAGAAAATCACGTTGTTACTGGTTCCACCCTGAGCCTGTCCCACTACGTCTTCCCTGCAGAGGGCGCTGTGGAGCCCTAGTAGCCTCCAAAAGGCGACTGAAGCGGGCCCTATCAGGTGCCCATCAGTGTTTGCCTTTCACTGGCGGTGTGGCTGTTATGAAATAACTGACTTGGATTTTGGCTTCAGGGCTGCAATGAACCCTTTTATGCTCAATTAAGCACTCTGATCTCCGACCAGCGCCAGACACAGCCAGGCTCTTCTACCCTGCGGGTGTCTATAAGATGTAGACAGTTTTCCCCTGGGTATTTTTGGTGGCATGGTCACAGCTTGTGTGAAACTGTTTCCCCCTGTAGGTCTAAGGGAAGGTCTGACTGAAGGCGTTGCAGAGTCTTTCTGGAAGGGGAGAGTGTCTATGTCAGTTCCCTCAAACAAGTTTGGACATTTCTCCTGAAATGTCACTTCACTGCAAGTGTTTGCCGCCCAGGCAGTCCCTGCTGGCAATGTCTGTAGAACAGGGAAGGTGACACAATGAAGGGACCGTGACCCGTGGTACTACCCAGCACCCAGACTCTGAAGGTCCCGGGAGGCTTCTGCTTTTCCTTAGTCAGTTGTGTGAGCACAGAGCGCCGCGTGCAGCCAGGGAAGGCCGTCTATCTAGTCCCCACCCAGGGGACACCTGGTGCTGGCTTCTTCTTGTTGGCTTGACAAGAGAAACTAAAAGTCCTGATCTCTCTGAATTCCCACCTCTGCTTTCCAGGAGCTAGGCATAAGATGAAAGGTTTTGGTTTTGCCTTTGGTCTGTTCTCCGTGGTGGGTTTCCTCCTTTGGACTCCTTTGACGGGGCTCGAGACTCTCCATTTGGGACGCTGTGTGATCGCTGTAAACCTCCAGGCAATACAGAAGGAATTTTCTGAGATCCGGGATAGTGTGGTACGTAAAGGAGGGATCCATCTTTCCTGTTTGTCCATTTTCTTTCCCCTTTGTCTGTCTGTCTTCTCAGGGTAGCTCTGATAGTGCGTTAATGGAAACAGGCCAGTTGGAGAGAGATTCCAGTCCTGGACAGTGTACTTCCAAGAGTTGCCTGTGCTTAATAGTTTTTAAAAGCCTCTCATCGGGCCCTAGTCGGGAAGAGACTAAAGGTTTTGATATCTAAAACTCTGGCAACAGTCAATGACCTGTCTTTTCTTGTCCTTTCTCCTCTTTAGCAAGCCGAAGATGAAAACACAGACATCAGAATCTTAAGGACGACTGAGTCTTTGCAAGACGTAAAAGTATGGACTTGATCTTGGGCAACTCAGGGAGGGCAAAGCCAGAGCTTCTGAATCAGGCCTGGTCTTGTTGTCCCCCCTTCTCATTAATTCACTTGCCATATGTTATTTGCAGCCTCCGGATAGGTGTTGTTTCCTCCGCCACTTAGTGAGATTCTATCTGGACAGGGTATTCAAATTCTACCGGACCCCTGACTATCATATCCTCCGAAAGACCAGCAGCCTTGCCAATTCTTTTCTTATCATCAAGAAGGACCTCTCTGTCTGTGTGAGTAAAGGTCTGGGTACATAGTTTGAACCACTTAGCAACCAAGCTCTTTTTCCTATTCCGTTGACTGGGTAGAGAAATTGAGTTCAACATTACAAAACAAAACAAAACACCAAGCCAAACCAACCAAACAAACAAATAAAAAAGGTGTTGAACATGAACCTATTCAGAAATTCCCTGTTTTATTGAACACATGCTCCATTCAAAAAGCATCTTCAAAGGTTTGAATTAATATAAAATGCTGGCTGTTTGATGCTTATGGTTATTATCCAGAATCAGAATCCATGAAAGTAGATTTCCCCCCCCCCCCTTGGTAATGCATTCTACAACCTTACTAGGGCATCTTGTGCTCAGGTGGTCAGTCATAGGCTATTAGACTTGATCTTGGGTTGTGATAGGACTTTAGAATTGCATCTTTCTGTAAGGGCTTGGGTTTGCTCTGGAGCCTCCTAGATGGGAGCTCAGGGAGGAAGCCAGTGGGGCACAGGAACTAGGAACTCCTTCAGCACTGACTCTAAGAAGACTCTGTGAGCTCCATGTCTGTGCATTAAAGGCTGGCTTCTTTGCCTGTCTGATGGTCAGTTACATGATCCCAAGTGATGAGGCATGAAATGACTTTCCTGTAGAAATGACCATTCACAGGATTATAGGCAAAGCAGAATTCTCTGCTTATGCCTAGCAAGGGCAGGGAAGACAAATTGCAAAATAAAAATTAGAGCCAGAGAGATGGCTCAACAGCTAAGAGCACTGGTTGCTCTTGCAGAGGATCCAAATTGGATTCCCACCAACCACATGGTGGCTTACAACCCTCTGTGAACTCCAGTCCCAGGGCCCCGACCCCCTCTTCCGGCCTCCACTGGCACTGCATGAATGAGGCTTACAGACACACATGCAGGCAAAGGCCATGTGAACTAAAAGGTAAAAATACAGCTTACCATTCTTTGGGGATTTTTCAGCATTCCCGTATGGCATGTCATTGTGGCGAGGAAGCGATGGAGAAATACAACCACGTTCTGAATCACTTCACAGAGGTATGTACTATTTTTGTAGGGGTTGTGGCAGGCGTGTTTTTGGGTGCGAGTCTATAGATAGGTGGGAGGTATATATTCCTGGTGGTAAAAATCAGGTTAGTAGTTCACTATGGTCCCAGGGACCATCCCAGGTTCCAGAAGGATGCTTTCTCTACATGATGCCCAACCAGTGAAGAAAGAATGCCCTCCAATGACGCCTAGATCTTCCAAGGGGCATAAACCAGAAACAGTAGTTTTCCAGTATGCACGCAATGCATACCTTCAAAAACCCTCGCTTGCAATGTCATACATGCCCATCTATGTTGTTCCTCAAACTGATACTTTTACACATCTGCCAAGAAATCCTGAGTCAGCTCCTCTCTGATTTCTTCTTCTTCTCCTTCTCTGCCTCCTTTTCCTTCAGGAGTCAGCCTAGGCATCACCTCCCAGAGCTGGCTACCTCTTGCCATGATGTGGGGCCTCCTACCATTTATTCGCCATACTGCATTTCAGTTACTGTTCCTGCCTCTCTCCCTTCTTTAACCAAGAATTCCTTACAGGCAAGGACTGTGCCATTCACTTCTGAACTGGTCCAGTGCTCGACAAGTCAATATTTATTAGATCTAAGTGTATACAAGGGAACACACACAGACATGCACAGAGACATACATATACAGTTCTTGAGGAAAACAGCCTTATTATGATCGGTGTGGGCCAAGTTATCTCTGGGCCTCCATTCCCTGTATTAAGGATAGTGGGCTCAGTAATCTTCCTTTGTTCTGTGAAAACTTGATGCACTGTCACCTCTTTCGATCTCTTCATCTTGAAAGGAATGCTCTTGTCATTATCCCAGCTGACCTGGCAGCAGGAGGAGGGAGGATTGTCCTTGGGCAAATGTCTCTTTCACATCTCTGACAGCATGCATCTACTCTTCCTTCAGCTTGAGCTTCGGGCAGCAGTAGTAAAGGCGTTGGGGGAAGTAGGCATTCTTCTGAGATGGATGGAGGAGATGATATAGATGAAGGTGATGATGCTGAGGACGCTCCTGCCCAAGAGTTCCTGTCCTCAGTGCCATGAAGACGTGTCCCCAGATGCTGCTGAGTACATTGCTACCCAAGGGTCTCTGCCCTCAGTACGGTGAAGAAAGACATGGCCTCAAAGCACCACCTCTTTGTCATATAATTTAGTGCTAGTCACAATGCGTATTATTTACTTATTTATGTATTATTGGTTTCCTTATGTGGATGCCTTAAAGTGTCCCCAATATTACCTTACACGGTTAATTTTGTAAAATTTTCTGTGATGTCTTTTCTAATGATAACTATATTTATTCATTAATATATCTGTTTTCTACTGAACTTCTATTTATTTTGTATTTGAACCCAAGACCGTAACAAAGATTGTATTTATAACCTGTCAAGAACAGGTGATGTATTTTCATATAATAAACAAGCCCTTTAAATTCCGGAAGAGCAGCTATGGGAGTTTGCCTTTAATTACGAGTATACTTACTGCTGAGGGCCAATGAGGCAAGTGAGCCAGTGGCTTTTTAGGATGAATTTTGGAAGAATGCATCAGATAGGAAATTTTAGGTGTCTTGCAATCATTGGATATTCCAACCCAACTTCCCAGACTCTTATGTGTATATCTCCTAGCTATGGACTCATTGGCTCATATGTAGTTCTACAAATGAAGTTTTCTTTGTGTAGTATCTGCCTGAAGTTGAAAGTACTCCTGGAGAGGAACACCACTGAGGGGGAGCTTGAGTCTCAGTTTCCCGCAGGATCCTCTAGCTCCCAGGGAAGGAAGATGTGTGAGAATCTAGGCTTTCTCCCCGCTGTGATCCATCTCTACCTCCATGTCTTAAATCATTGCCACCTCCAATCCTGTGACCGACCTCAGTGAATGACAGATGGAGTGAGGGGCTGGAGCCTTCCTGGTCTCAACTCACTGGCTCCGAGTACTGTCCTCTGGGCACTTCTGCTTTCTTTCTTACCCCGGGTTCTTTCACTCTTATTTCAGGCACTGTAATTATGGCACCGATTTCAGTGGGCACAGATTCATTGGTAAGGGTTTAGAACACGTGGGCTCAATATTGCTCCAGAGTCTTCCCAGGGAAGTGTGTGAGCTATCCCCCAAGGCCCTCCCATTTGGGCTTTCTCCAGCCATGCAGGCCAATTTGTTGCTGGACCAAGTCTTTGTCTTGGTTTTCTTTCCAGGTGCTTTTCAGGCTGAGTTGTCTTGGTCCCAGGAGCCAGCTTCTGACCTGGCCTGGTTCCTTCTTCCTCAGTGTGGTGTCCCTTAGCTTTGCAATGTTCAGTTTTCCAAGCCAGCTTGGCTGTTTGCATTCTACCATTGCCTCTTCTTATTGCTTCAAATTTCTGCATTATCAGACTTTTAAGTAATATAAGTAATGACTACCCAATGGAGAAAACCTGGAAGCGTGGAGATAAATATGAAGAAGAAAATTAAAGCGACCATAGGGAAAAAAAATCTTCAAATCTTTATTCTTTCTTACTTTACCTCTTCCTCCTTTCTTGGTTGAGTTTAAACCATGACTGAATCCTCTTTACCTCTGCAGGACCCATCCGTCTTCTTCATCAGGTTCTTCGTATGGTTGCACTTGACTTACATGGTACAGATGAGAAATTCAGCAATGGATAAGCCAACCAAATTAGGGCTTGGGGGAGAACTCCAGGAAGGTGGGCTACTGCAGGATACACGCTAATGAAAGGTCCATGGTGGTTCTCTGCTGCTGCCATAGGGTAAGCAGAACCCACCCCCCATATTCTTCCTTCGGCAGTTTCAGTTGAGAACAACCCCGGTCTGAAAACACTAAATTGGAAATTCTAAAAGCAAATGAACTGTAACTTTGAAATGACTTTTATTATAGCGTGTTGTTACTGCTGCTAGTCTGTGATGGTGCCCAACTTATTCATTAAACCTTATCATAGGTGTTTATGCATGTATGTGTAGAAGAAAGTATAATGTAGCAAGTCTTCTTGTCTGAGGGTTATGTGCATACATATTCAACCAGTTATGGAGAAAAAGGTTTTGAAAAAGAAAGTCACATCTGTATTGAACCTGCATAGACATTTTTCATCTTCATTCCCTTAATAATACAGTCTCCCAGTTATGCACATGGCATTTTATTATATATATATATACATATATATATTAAATATTATAAGTAATCTAAAGATGGCTGAGGGCCACAGAAGGTGCCATTTTATATAAGGGAGTTGAACACTCATGGGGTTGAATATACTTGGGGAGAGAGGGGAAAACGGTCTCCCATGAGAACTGAGGAACTGTATAAGGGGTCATAGTAACTGTAGCTTCAGTTATCCAATGGAAGGCTTAGACTGTATTCCCCAAGAAGAGTGGGAGGGGGCCACTCTAACGAAAATGAGTGTTGTCATTAAATATTTGTAACACGAGAGGCACTCTATTGGGAACTGTACATCCATGGTGTTACTTACACCTTAGAGGAGGCAGCCAGGAAGGCATCTCCTCCCCCCCTACAAGAACCAAAACTTGATAGAAGCAGCCTGATTCCTTCACATAGCCACTGGTGATAGGGTTAGGTATGGCTGCAGGAAGGAGAGGAAGGAGGGAGAGAAAGGCCTCTCTTTGGTGGGTGGATGGAGCGGCCAGGGTGGAGACAGCTTTTGACCAAAAGGTAGTGAGTCTCAGCTCTCAGAAAGGGCTGAGCCTTTCTACCAAGGTGTGGAACTATGCATTGGTTTCCCGGTGAAAGCCATCTCTACAACATCCGTGTTGAATTTCAATTTCATCTGTTTCAATACACGGAATCGAAGTAGGTTTTGTCTGCAGAGAGAAGGAGAAATACGCTCAACTCAGCTCTGGTTACAATTAGCTGCTAGACTGTGGAACCACATCCCCTCTCTGCTTTAGTCTCTGATGAGAAATTCATATACAAATGGTAGGCAGACCATACATAAAAACAAAACTCTGACCCACAGTTTGCAGCAGCCTCCCCAGGAAACCAGCTTGGTATCTACAATCCCCAGGCTGAGGAGCCAGCCTACTGTTAACCTTCAGTCAGATTTGCTGCAGTTTAGATAGCTCATGCTCTCCAGCAACAAGCCCAGGAAGCAATTGGCTCCAAATGACCAATGTATTAATAACTGATGCAGAAATCCCAATACATAATCCCTAACCAACTGCCTCAAACCAGAGCCCACCTCTTCCCAATATGGAGTCTCTTTGATGATACAGGCTCTGAAAGCAGGACCTCTCCCTGTCTTCTCCCGGTAATCTGTTCTGTTGTCGTCATCGGAAATATTTCTACATTGCTTTCTTAAAATGAAAGTGCTAGTATAGGTGATTATGGATTTGTTTCCAGACACTGGGTTCTACCACGTCTCAGGCCATCAGAAGAGTCTGCTGCCCTGGCTCCCTTCCAGAGCCCAAAGGGATCTGTCTGGTTCAGCACCTGAAATGGGTGAACGGGATCAGGCAGGCCAAACTGAAGGCCCATTCTCTGGATGCCTGGAAGCCTGGACTAGTTTTCCCTCTGGTGAGAGACGGCATCTTTTCAAAAGGCATGGAGTCCCCTACCTTCAAGTGAGGGCCAGAGATTGGGGACTCAAAACATGGCAAGGGCTCTGCCCCTCATTTCTGTCATGACTTTGAGGCAGTCCAAGTTCTTTATTTTCAGAGTCAGGCCTTTCCAGCATAATTTTGCTCTGACTTGTGCATGTCCTTATCCGTGTAGACGAACAAGATTTCCATTTCATTGCTGGAGCCTTCGGTACCTGGGGCAACAGACTGTCTGGTTTTTCTTTTGTTTTGTTTTTCCCCTCCGTTGTTGACTCTTACCCCACTCCACCTGCCTTAGGATACCTCAGTAGAATACTGCCAACAACTACTGAACCCAAAAGTAAGAGAGGGGACAGTGCTTAAATAAAAATTAAGATGTTAAAAAAAAATACCAAACAAACCCAAATTCAATGTTTTGTTGTGGTTGTTGAGTTGCTTGACCTCTGCTAGACGGCACTTCACTTTGCAGACAGGGCTTTGCTCGCCGCAGGCCGCACAGCACAACAAATGGCAAAAGCATGTTGAACTAACAGCAGCCACTCCCTGTCTCACTGGAAAGCCAGGAGAAAACAGGTGACACACTCACCTCAACCCTCATGATAGCAATGAGTCAACACTTAACGGGAAGAGGAAGGGGTAGCGCTCGGGCCAGGAGGCCGTGAGTCAGGAGTGCCCCAAAACCACTCAGAGTGCGTTCTCTGTCTTACTAAACGTCAGATCTCATCACAGAGAACGTGCAGACCAGTTCAGACAGCAGTCCAGTTTCAGAGAGAGAAAGTGACTTGTCAAAGGTTGCACAGTAAGCCGTGGCAGTCCTTGGGCTTCCAGTAAACTTAACCTTGATTCATTTAAGAATGAACTGAAGTCATCTAGATTAGAAAGAAAGATTCTCTGCATTTGTAGAAGATGCTCTTATCTAGGTTGAACTGGCCAGTGAAATCGATCAAAAGCTGCTAGTATAAGAAGTCTTGGTAAGATGTCAGAATACAAAAAGCAGATATAAAACCCAACTTTATTCCCACATTTCAACAACACACTCATTGAACCTGCAATTAAATAAAAATTGCTAATTACAACAATACCAAAACTTGAAGTAGTTGGGAGATAAGTTAGACATTTGAGAGAACGGGGCTAGAGAGATGGCTCAGTACCAGGTGACTGAGTCTCTCTCAGGATCAGAGCCCTTGGCCCTACCCTTTGAGTGAGGAGGACTCCGCAGGAATTGCAGACCCTTGGATCTTACTTCTCTGCCTCACTCATGAGAGCTGTGTAATGATCTTACCTCCTTACTCCCATTGGGGTGTTCCTTGCAGACCCACTGACAATTTCTAACCAGCCACTGTTACAGGACTACCAGCTGTTGGCTGTAGAGCTGGAGGCTCAAGCCTACCAAGCACTTCAGGTGATGCTCAGGGGATGGGGAAGGATCCGGTGCTTTAAGCCCTAGGGAGT